CAAACTCACTGGACTCCTGACTAAGCAGAACACTTTTTCAGTAAAATGTTTCTTTTAACATAAAAATAAATCTACACTGGATAATTCATAAAGCTAGAAAGGATCGTTAATTATCCCCAGGGAGCAGATAAGAGAACAAACAGCACCTAACATTTGTGTAGGCTATCACATTGCTTAATGCACTACTGGAAAGTGCTCAGATGCTACAATGACAAATGGGATATAAAAACCTACACAGAATAGAATAATACAGTGGTTTTCAAACTTTTTCCCCAGTTAAAGTAAATTTTTGATGTCTGGGACCCAACATAATTTGAATAGTGTGTGGACTCTGGGGTGGGGCTGAAGATGAGAGCTTTAGGGAAGACATAGGAATGGGCTCCGGCTTCGAGGGGAGTCAGAACTGGGCAGAAAAGGCTTACCTTGAGCAGCTCCCAGTCAGCAGTGCAGTGGTGGTGCCACGGCAGACTTTTTGCTTTTTCTGGCACTGCAGACTGTGCTGCACCACAGAAGCAGTCTGCAGCAGGTTCCTGGCCAATGGAGGTGCGGAGCTGGTGCTTGGGGTAGAGGCAGCCCTGTTCGCTCCCCTGCCCACTCCTAAGAGATGGGCCTGCTGCTGGCTGCTTCTGGGGAGCAGTGCAATCTGCGGTTCCAGGAGAGGCAGGAAGCCTGCCTTAGCACCCACACTGATCACCTAACCCCTTTCAAGCATCAAGACCTAATGTCTGACATTCATAGAATCACAGAATCCTAGGGCTGGAAGAGACCTCAGGAGGTCATCAAGTCTAGCCCCCTGCCCAAAGCAAGACCAACCCCAACTAAATCATCCCAGCCAGGGCTTTGTCAAGTCGGGACTTAAAAACCTCTTAGGGATGGAAATTCCACCACCTCCCTAGGTAACCCATTCCAGTGCTTCATCACCCTCCTAGTGAAATAGTTTTTCCTAATATGCAACCTAGACCTCCCCCACTGCAACTTGAAACCTTTACTCCTCATCTGTCACTACAGAGAACAGCCTTTTTCCATCCTCCTTGGAACCTCCCTTCAGGTAGTTGAAAGCTGTTATCAAATACCCCCTCACTCTTCTCTTTTGTAGACTAAAGAAACCCAAATCCCTCAGCCTGTCCTTATAAGTTATGTGCTCCAGCCCCCTAATTATTTTGGTTGCCCTCTGCTGGACTTTCTCCAATGCATCCACATACTTTCTATAACGGGGGGCCCAGAACTGGATGCAATGCTCCAGATGTGGCCTCATCAGGGAATAATCATTTCTCTAGATCTGCTGGCAATGCTCCTTCTAATGCACCCTAATATGCCATTAGCCTTCTTGGCTATAAGGGCACACTGTTGACGAGTATCCAGCTTCTCATCCATTGTAATCCCCAGGTCTTTTTCTGCCAAACTACTGCTTAGCAAGTCAGTCCTCAGCCTGTAATAGTGCTTGGGATTCTTCTGTCTCAAGTGCTGGACTCTGCACTTGTCCTTGTTGAATCTTATCAGATTTCTTTTGGCCCAAACCTCTACTTTGTCTAGGATGATCTAGACCCTATCTCTACCCTTCAATGTATCTACCTCTCCCCCTAGTTTAGTGTTATCTGTGAATTTGCTGAGGGTGCAGTCCAGCCCCTCATCAAGTCATTAAGAAAGATATTGGACAAAATCAGCTCCAGTACCGACTCTTGGGGCACTCTGCTTGATACTGATTCCCAGCCAGACATTGGTATTGGTTTATCACTACCTGTTGAGCCCAACAATCTAGCCAGCTTTCTATCCATCTTACAGTCCATTTCTCTAATGCATATTTCCTTAATTTGCTGGCAAGAATACTGTGGGAGACCATATCGAAAGCTTTGCTAATGTCAAGGTATATCACATCCGCCACCTTCCCCACGTAGAAGACAATTAGGTTTGTCAGGCATGTCTTGCCCTTGGTGAATCCATGTTGATTATTCCTGATCATTGTCCTCTCTTCCAAGTGCTTTAAAATGGATTCCTTGAGGATTCCCTCCATGATTTTTCTGGGAACTGAGGTAAGGCTGTCCGGTCTATAGTTCCCTGGATTGTCCATCTTCCCTTTTTTTAAAGATGGGCACTACATTTGCCTTTTTCCAAATGTTCGGCACCTCCCACAATTGCCATGAGTTTTCAAAGATAATGGCCAATGGCTCTGTAATCAATCATCCAGCTCCCTCTGCACCCTTGGATGCATTAGATCTAGCTCCATGTGTTTGTGTATGTCCCACTTTTCAAAGTAGTTTTTAACTTGTTCTTTCTCCACTGAGAGCTGCCCACCTCCTTCCCATACAGCCTGGTACTGTAGTCTGGGAGCTGACATTGTCTGTGAAGACTCAAAAAAAGCATTGAGTACTTCAGCTTTTCCCACATCATCTCTCAGTAAGTTACTTCTCTCATCCAGAGTCCCACAACTTCCCTGACCACCCTCTTACTGACCATGCCTGTAAAAACCCTTTTTGTTATCCTTCACATCCCTTGCTAGCTGCAATTCCAATTGTGCTTTCACCTTCCTGATTATATCCCTGCATGCTTGAGCAATATGTTTATACTCCTCCCCAGCCATCTATCCATCTTGTAAGCTTCCTTTTTGTGTTTAAGCTTGCCAAGGATTTCATTGTTAAGCCAAGCTGGTTGCCTACCATATTTGCTTTTCTTACTTTGCATCGGGATGGTTTCACGACCCAGTACTGGGTCATTACCCTAAGTTTCTAAACCACTGGAATAGTATTTAGAGTTAGACCATCATACATGAGAGATTGATCCCATGTATTACACTACGTTAAATTTCACACACTTATCCTTGTATTGAGCCCAGTATCTCCTGTATATTTGAGAGAATTTGTCTATCTGTGAGTCCGTTGGTTCAAGAACTCTTCCTAAACAGTAAGAGCTAGGACCACCAAATACGATATACAGCTTCCTCTGATCATAACTTAAAGCAAGATAAGGGTTTGGTTTTGCCAGGAAAATGGGTTGTGCCTGGAATGGGATTGCTTCTCATAAAACCATACAGAAAAGAAACAGAATCATCAGACAGGTGAAAGTGGCTGGTTGGGGGTGTGCCCCATTCAGGACTGCCCAAGCCTGCCATCCTCAGGTGACCCCTTCATTAGGGACCAAGGGGAAATTGCACAGTTTGCTGCATTTGTCACTCTGTCTGGGAAGCGCAAGGGGCAGATGAATCTGGACCTGCCCCTGACAGGGGACATGCACCCAACCCTCCCTTAGCTGTGCCTACTGGAGCTGCAACAGCCATGGAGAGAAGCTTCTGACCTGCCCCCAAGCTGCTGCAGTGAAAAAGGGTTGAAATAGTCCTCTCTCTCTCTCCCTCTCTCTCTCTCTCTCTGTGGCAGCCTGCATATGAAACTTCTCATCCTCAGCCCCAAACCAAACCAATGATTTAAATGAAGAACAAAAATTATTTGAGTTAAGGACCTGAGCAACGCCAGGGAAATCTCCTAGGAAGAACACAAGAACAGCCAAAGGTCCAGTAGGAGGAAGATCAGGCCTCTGAAGCACATCTGGAAAGAACTGAACACCCATCTATGTCTGATTTCTTTCACAGAACTGAAGGAAAATGAACCAAGTTATTTCCTTGCTCGATGATTGCCTCATCAAAACAAAACATGTAGAGCATGCAGCCATCATCAAAATAAAGGATGGAAGTGTGTGGGCATCAACCCTTGGCTTTAATGTAAGAAAATGAAAATGTCTTAGCAAATGATACTGAAAGTAAAAAAAAATTTAAATGTACCCTATTTTGTTACGGGTGAGAAAATGAGTTAGGGATAAGAGAGGGGACTGTTTATCAGGACTGCTGTGTTTGATTAAGTATTCTTAAGTCTTCCACTGGCTGCGTGACCTTAGGCAGTTTTCATACCTGCTGAGCCAAATGGACACATTTCTACAGTATTTACCAAGAAGTGGCATGTGAGGTCAAATTTGTTGTAAGAATCTTATATTAGATCTTTGGAGGAAGAGTGTTTTATTGTTAGAACTCCATTTCTTTAGTGCTTTGGACTGGGTCAGTCACCTTTGATTCTGCTAGAGATGCAGACATGTTAGTCTGGTCTAGCTGAAACAAAGGACAGGACTATGAGACACTTTAAAGACTAACAAGATGGTTTATTATTGTTGTTGTTTCTGCTGATTTTATTTTAGGATCAACAAGGTAGCAAAGAAGACAGCAGAATAGAGCAGTACAGTACTATATCCTATGATGAAATTAATGCTTCCCCTGTCTACTTTGATTTAATATTGTGTTACATTTGAACAGAGGGGGTCAAGTCTGCTTATTTACTTATATGGTCACATCACCATAGTGTCTGTGCACTGAAGTGTCATCCATAGGACAGTAGCAGTCAGTGAGGGTCGAAAATGCTAAAATTCATTTTCACTCTAGAAGTGTGGTTGGTGGAGGGAGACTGGGGCAGATTCTTGCTAGTGTAGATTCTCATTGTTCTATTGATCTCAATGGATTTATGGCATTTCACACCAGGGAAAGATTTATTCTCAGGTTGTAGCATGCAATGCTCCATCTTGATTTGAAAAGCTCACTTGCTGGAGTTTCTCAAAGCTACATCTATATATTAAAGTAGAGATAATTATTATTTACATGTGGGATCTGTGTGCCCAGTATTGTGCAACCACAGAGTCCTCTAATCCAGAGAGTTTTTAAAGTAAGAGGCCAATCCAGTAAACACTAGTGGGCATATTGCTTACCATGAGTAGTGCCACTCTAATCAATGGGACTACTCATGGGGGTAAGTGCAAACATTTGTGAATCAGATTCTAAATCAGAGCCTGAAAATACAATTCATTCATACATGGACTAAAGCCCAGTTTCAAAGTTCTTCAGCCATTTTCCTTTGTTGTGTCATAATCTATTTATGAAACCATCTTTGATTAATTATCAACATCGCAGAAGAGGTGTGTTGATTGCAAAAGTGTGTTCTTTTTATCAATTTAGCTGCAGCCACAGACTGTCCATGTCATCATCCATGCTTTCTTCAAGAACTTACTGCAAGTCAGAAAGGAAGGACTTTACTTCAAGGAGAAGCATTATAAATGCGTCCGAGCAGATGACTGCTCCATGTATCTTAAAAATGTAAGTTGGTAACATTTATGGCAAATAGGCCTAAGCACTGAAGAAAGTATTTAAAAGTTTTCCACTTTTGTTCCTATGTATGTTAACGCGCAGAGTCAATTAGAGGTTAAACAAAATGTTTGCCACCTTTCTATCCACAGCACCTTCACAATATATGGAGCAAACAAATAAAAGCATAGCACAGCATCTCTACAAGGAAAATGGTAATGATATAACCTAGATTAAACAGAAATTAGTGCTGTTAATCACAGTTCACTCATGTGATTGAGACAAAAATTAATTGCAATTTAAAAAATCAGTTTTAATCACACTGTTAAAATAGAATATCAGTTGGTATTTATTAAGTATTTTGGATGTTTTTCTACTTTTTCAAATATATTAATTTAAAATACAACAGAGAATACAAAAGGTACAGAGATCACTTTTATTATTTAATTACAAATATTTGCACTGAAAAATGATAAACAAAAGAAATAGGATTTTTCAGTTCATCTCACAAGTACTGTAGTGCAATCTCTTATCACAAAAGTGCAATTTACAAATGCAGATTTTTTTGTTACATAACTGTATTGAAAAACAAAACAATATAAAACATTAGACTGAGCTTAAAAATCCACTCAGTCTTAGTTCTTGTTCAGGCAGTCATGTAGACTATGTCTACATGGTAATATTATTTCAAAATAACTAGTGTTATTTTGAAATAACATAGTCCACGATTACACAGCTGGCAGCTATTTTGACATGTCAAAATACTGTCAAGCTGGAGGACTTCTTACTCATTTTATGAGGAGTAAGGGAAGTCGGAGGAAGAGTGCTCTATTTTGAATACCGAAGCACCAAAACTCGAAATAAGCTACACAAGATATAGCTCAATTTGCATAGCTTATTTCAAGTTAAACCCTGCTACGTAGACATGCCCTCATAGAATCAAGGTTATTTATATTATGTATGCTTCCATACATTATTTTCACTATCACCTGAAAGTGAGAACAGATGTTCTCATGGAACTTCTGTAGCCAGCATGGCAAGGCATTTATGTGCCAGATATGCTAAATATTTGTATGTCCCTTCATGCTTTGCCATTCCAGAGGACATACTTCAATGCTGATGCTTGTTTTTTTTTTAAAGCATTATTTAAATTTGTGACTGAACTCCCAGGGGGAGAATTCTATGTTTCCTGCTCTGTTTTACCTTTGTGCTGCCATATATTTCATGTTACAGAAGTCTCTGATGATGAGCCAGCACATGTTTGTTTTAAGAACACGTTCCCTGCAGATTTGACAAAACACAAAGAAGGTACCAATGTGAGATTTCTGAAGGTAGCTACAGTACTTGATCCAAGGTTTAAGCATCTGACATGCCTTCCGAAATTTTAGAGCAGGGATAGGAAACGTATGGCTTCTTGCTGCAGGCAGAGGAGAGCCCCAGGTCTCGCAAGCTGAATCAAGGCAAGCCACCAGCAGCATCTGGCCAGTGGGCTCTACCAGGCGGCGGGAGAAAGCAGCTGTGTGAGTTGCTGTTCTCCTTCCCCTGGCTTGCAGACTCCACACTTCACTCCCACTGGTCAGGAATCACTGCCAGTGGGAGCAGTGGGGGGTACCTGCAAGTGTAGGGTGGTGCAGAGCCACCTGTGTATCCCTGGAGATGCAGTTAATGCACCAATCCCCTGCTCCCTCCTGCACCCCACCACAGCCCCCTTCCACATGCCTACACTGCTCCTGCACCCTACCTCCTGTCCAGACCCCACATCTCCACTCCATTCCTGGACCATTCCTCCTGCCCAGGCCCCCCACCACACTCCTGCACCCTTTCTCCCATCCAGATCCCACAACCAGGCTGTGTCTACACTGGGCCACTTATTCCGGAAAATCAGCCGCTTTTCCGGAATAAGCTGCGAGCTGTCTACACTGGCCCTTGAATTTCCGGAAAAGCAACGATGCTCTCCTGTACAAAATCAGCCGCTATTCCGGAAAAACTATTCTGCTCCCGCTCGGGCATAAGTCCTTATTCCGGAACACTGTTCCGGAAAAGGGCCAGTGTATACAGCCCAGTAGTCTTTTCCGGAAAAGCGCGTCTACATTGGCCACAGACGCTTTTCCGGAAAAAGGGCTTTTCCGGAAAAGCAGCATGCCAATGTAGACGCTCCTTTTCCGGAAAAACTGAAAACAGAATAGTATTCCATTTTAAGCATTTCCGGAAATTCGTGCCAGTGTAGACACAGCCCCAGTGTTGCCTCTAAGCTATGCAGCAGCTTCATCCTATGTATCTCTGACCATTTTTCTAGTTTGTCCAGATCATTTTGAATTTTGACCTTATCCTCCAAAGCAGTCGCAACCTTACACCAGCCGTGGCCAATCCGTGACTAGTGAGCTGCATGCGGCTTTCTCCCCAGGGTGCAGCTTGCAAAGCCCCTTGCATGGCTCATAAAGTTGCCCCCACACTCCCAAAAACAGCCCTCTCCTCCCGGCTCCCTGTGCTGACCTGGGTAGGGGAGAATTAAAGATGGTGTCGGCCAGCGGGAGCCTGATGTGGCCAAAAAGCTGATCAGTTTCAGCAGCAGCTGGGGTAGAGCACCAGTTCCGACTTACATACAGATTCAACTTAAGAACAAACCTACAGTCCCTATCTTGTACGTAACCCGGGGACTGCCTGTATTGGCATACAGAGTACACTTATTAAATTTGCAGATGATACCAAGCTGGGAAGGGTTGCGACTGCTTTGGAGGATAAGGTCAAAATTCAAAATGATCTGGACAAACTAGAAAAATGGTCAGAGATACATAGGATGAAGCTGCTGCATAGCTTAGAGGCAACACTGGGGCTGTGTCTACACTGGCACGAATTTCCGGAAATGCTTAAAATGGAATACTATTCTGTTTTCAGTTTTTCCGGAAAAGGAGCGTCTACATTGGCATGCTGCTTTTCCGGAAAAGCCCTTTTTCCGGAAAAGCGTCTGTGGCCAATGTAGACGCGCTTTTCCCGAAAAGACT